TGGATTGGGGATCTGCCGCTTAAACTGCAATTTTCCTTACTCTTTTCCTTATCCAATTACAAGGCAGAGCTGTCTCAAAATTTGGTTTACCCTTGGAACTTGGTCTAGATTGGGATTTTGGTTTTAGGGGTTTGAGAGATAATGAGTGTGACTCCCTTGTTGTCTTACTGTCAAAGCTGGAAAATGTTTTTTTGAACCCTAACTCTCCAGATGGAAGAATTTGGTTCCCCTCGCCTGATGGTCTTTTCTCTTGTGCTTCCTTTTTTCACCATCTTGTCTTGTCAGAACCCTTGGGGGAAATTTTCCTAGTAAAAGAAATCTGGTGCAGACCTATCCCTCCTAAAGTACAAGCTTTTTGTTGGGAAGATCAACACCTATGACTTTCTATAGAAAAGAATACCAAATAAGTTCCCTTCTCCTCATGTATGTATCCTTTGCAAGGAAAGTGGTGAGACCCTTCCTCATTTACTATTATTCACCTGCCCTTTTGTGTCTTGTATTTGGAAATCCGTTTGTTCTCTGTTTGGCTGTAGATGGGAACCCCCCACAGGATGTGTGGTAGGCTTATTCAACTCAATTTTCTTAAGGCAATAGAAGAGAGGAAGAGTTATGTGGAGGACAACAAGAGCAATGTTGATCTGGATTGTACGGGAAGAAAGAAATTAGAGAATTTTTAATGAGAAGAGCAAATCAAAGGAGGAACTGATTGAATCTATAACAGTAAGAACAACACATTGGGTAAAAACTTTGGATCTTTTTCGAGAATTCTCAACAAATGACATAATAAGGTCCTGGACTGAAGTGGCACAAACAGTTGGACCTATAGAAAGTGTAAGAATTGTTTGGAAACCTCCATCTATTAACAAGCTAAAGCCAAACTTTGATGGTAGCTCATTGGGTAATCTAGGAAGGGCGGGAATAGGAGGTGTTTTTAGAAACCACCAAGGAGTGGTGGTGGACCTGTTTTCAGGACCAATTGGTTTTGGAGATTCAGTCCCGGCTGAAATTATGGCTTGCAGTACAACTTGGGGTAAGGGAACTGGGAGTTGACGGAGATTCACAGTTGGTCATCTCTTGGTCCAAGAATTTCAGCTCGGCTCCTTGGAAATACAGACATGCTTTCAGGGAAATTGACACCCTATCCAAGAGATTCAATTCTACTTTTGGCTGGATAAGGACTGCAAATGGGTTCACAGATATTTTGGCAAAGCAAGGAGATGACAGACCTAGTTTGTTTTGGCAAAGTTGTAACCTGATGTACTTTGGGCTTGGGAACCTGTTAGCCTTTTGGACTTCTTTGTAATTGTGGCTTGAAAGTTTTTTGGGGATGACATCCCTGTCATCAAATTGTATTATCTACTGCTTTAATTAATTCTAATAAAATAAGTTATCTTTTGTGGATCAGAAAACAGTTTGTATAAAATAAGTTATCTCTTGTCCCCCCCCATTCTGAGATTTACAAAGAACACACCAATTAGGGGATAAGCACCAATTTGGTCTTATCTTTTGGGGGAATGGGCCTAGTCCAAAATTCTTTAACTGGGAAATTCTGAGGTGCAAAAGTGGAACAAAGGGACTTGAAGAAAGAGGAGCAAGTGAAAAAACCTTTTGGGTTAGGGTCCAAATTCTTGTGTCAGGTTTGAGGGGATCTAAACAAATAGACTCAAGTGAAGACAATAAAACTGAAACACAAGCACTTTCAGCATAAAATTTTTGGAAAATGGAAAACAATTCACTCCTTTCTTTCATTAGGTAAAGCCATGTCATCCTTGAATGATCACCAACAAAAATAACAAAGTATTTGTAACCATTGTATGACACTATTTTATTTGGACCCCAAATATTTGAATGAACTAAAGAAAAAGGACTCGACATACGATTATCAACCCTAGGACTAAAGGCAACACGATGATGTTTCCCCAACTAACACGACTCAGAATCCAAAACAGAAAGACGACTTAACGATGAAATAAGTGACTTCAGTGCTTTAAGCGATGGATGACCAAGTCTATAGTGCCATTGAAGAGGAGAAAGAGATGTTTGAAGAGTTGTTGATGAACCACCACCACCAAATACAGTCCACCAGCTTCATGCCCTCCACCAATCTTCATCCCTTGAGATGCTAAAAAACACAAGAAGAGGGGTAAGAGGTGATAGAGCAATTAAGAGATTTGGTTAGCTTACTAACAGACATAAGATTAAAAGGGAATTTGGGAACATATAAAACTGAGGATAGGGATAAAGGGTCTATGTCAACATTACCAACACCACAAATGGAGGATGTGGAACCATTTGCAAGGGTAATAGAATGTGACGTGGAGCACTGTGAAAGGGAGGAAAACACACCTGGAGTCCCAGTCATATGATCGGAAGCTCCAGAGTCGATAATCTAGGAGGTGGGTTTGGATGCAAGACAAGCCATACCTAAATGTGCAGAGTAGTTGTATTCTATTGAGAGGTGGATTGAATAAACCGCTCATACTCATCACGTGGGACACTCATCATCTCCGTCCCGGAGACATCCGTAGATGTAGAGGGCATTTGATCAGCTTGTTGGATATCCTATCTTGAACTACCATCACTGGCCACTGCATGATTTGCCCAAGTTGAAGGTGGGCCGTGCAAATCATAACAAAAGTTAATGGTGTGCCCTTCCATACCACAATGGATACACCTCCTCGGACCATTAATACGTCCTCTGCCACGGGCTCCCCTTGAATCTCGACCTCCAACATGTCCACCACGACTATACATGGGTCCACCACCACCACTATGACTATACATGGGTCCACCACCACCACTATGACTATACATGGATCCACTGCTACCACTACGACCGGGCTGAACTCCCTGAGCTCCACCTCTAACACCACGACCTCTCCCTCTCATCACTGCAAAGGCAGACCTGCCACAAATATTAGAATTCTCTATGGGCCCAACAGAAATCCTCCAAAGACGGGCAAACACCTCTTCTAGAGACGGAAGAGCTGACCCTCCTAGTATCTGTGCTCTCACTGGTTCATATTCAGATTTCAGCCCTACTAAAATTCTGGTCACATATAGTTGTTCTCTTTGTTGTTGCTGAATCTTAACATCAGAAGTGAGGGGATGGTACACATTCAACTCATTACGAAGGTTTTTCATGCTAGCATAGTACTCCTCAAGACTCCTAATAAAGCTGATACACTCTAGTAGTATCGTCTTGTCTCGATTACAATTTCTTGGCATGGTCCCAATTCTCCTTGGTTGTATCTAGGAACATGAAATTCGCACTGATCTTGGGTTCCATACTATTCCATAACTAGGTCATGATCTGTGCATCTTTTTGTTCCCAATCACTATACTCTTGAGAGTCAGCTAGAGATTTTTCTTCTCTTACATGTTTCACTTTCTTCTTAGCTCTAAGAAAGACCTCTATAGATTTCGGCCAAGGCACATAATTCTCCCCATTCAACTTGATAGAAGTCACCTGAACATTCAGGTAGTTGGTGGGAACCATAACACTAGATTTGTGTTCACTACTGTCTCCCATATCTGAATTCCTCTTTCTTTTCTCGTATATCAAACTTCTAAATCACTTTTCACCACCTATAGTCACAATTTTCAGCAATACCCATTTCTGATTTCTTCACTTTCAGCACCACAAAACTGCCACACAACTACTTGAATACACACCATAGCACTAGCAACTCACCAACCACTCGATTCACACTGAAACAGACATATAGCCCACCTATTTGATCACCAAAAACCAACCTGACACTCGACTGTCCACTGCACCACCTGAAACAGCCCCCTTCGTACCATCGATTAGAGGGCTTCCTACAAACCATCACAAACACTCACTAAACCACTGACACGGGGCATGAAAACCTCCAAAGGGAAAGGGCGATCACTCCCAACGGAAGATGAAGAAAACTGTAGAACCCTAGGCTGAATGACGATAGAACAGAATTCTGGGTAGATCTGATTTTGTCACAGTGGCTCTGATACCATGATAAAGTTCACACCTGCACTAGAATTCTGTTAGAAATAGTATTAGAAGAAGATTAGAAGAGATAGAAGAGAGAAGAAAAGAAGAGAATAAAGGAGGAGAAAACTGGTTCAAACAAGAGGGAAAAGTCACTCTCTAGTCAGCCAGGTTATATTTATATGTTTCTATTAAATAAAGAAAAGACTATTATGTCCCTACTTAAGTATGGGACACATCACTTAACATAAACATTACACATCAGCTTAAACATAAATAGAAAGACTAAACTATCCCTATACAGTCGACACTAACAAAGCCAATCACCACTTTATATGAGAAAGAGATCTCTATGGTGAAGTCTGTCTTCCATTTGTCAAATCTGGTATACAATTGGCTGATATGTTCACCTAAGTGTTCCAAATCCAAGTTGGACCATAGTTTAGGCAAACTGGGCATGATCAATATCTTTGATCAGCTTGAGGGGGAGTTTTGAAATATATGTGGTTATATGGGGGTACACAACCAGGGGTATTCTGGTTATTTCCTTTGTAATATAATGTAAATAGAAGAGGGAAGCTACATGCCTCGCAATTTTTTCACTCTCCCAATTAATCTTTCTTCTCTTCTATCTTTCTTTTTCTCTTTCTCTTATTCTATTATCTTATCATCAACATTGCTGAATTAATCAAACAAGTCAGTTAACATATTCATGGATACTATATGTTGTACTTATGCATGTTTTGATAATATTTTTTGGTTTTACCAGGGGCTCTTTGGTAGCAACTAAAATAGCTGAACTGAATGAATTATTGCTTTGTCTTATAGTTAATAAGTTATTAAGGAGGTTGTGAGCTTCTTAATTGATGAAGCTGAAATTGTGTTGATTACTATATCCTTGAATATTATTATTTAATTATTTTATCCACCAAAAGACAAAGCAATAAGTCATTTCAGTTCAGCCACTTCCACTGTTATCAAACAGTCCCTAAGTTAAGAGAGTAAATAAGTTATTTGCCATTCATATCAGGGAGTCCATCCATCAATAAAAGGGGTAGTCTGGGAGTTCCTTTTGGGTAGCTTTGATCCCAATAGCACCTTCAATGAACGGAATCAGCTCAGGCAACACCGGAGGTGGTAATTCTTCTTTAATTTCAATTGATCATCTGTTTGTTCTTTTTTTCTGTTTTAAGCTACCTCTTTGATGAGGTAAGGTTCAATGCATACCATTCACTGTATTTCTCCTCAAACTTTGTTGATTTTTCTTTCTGCAAATTGAGTTGAATGAAAATAAATACTAGTCTCTAGCTTTTCTTTAATGAGAAAAAGAATGGTATTAGCCTCTACTGTTAAGTTGTGTTTGTAGTAACATTTTCTTGATCATGTTTTCTACCACCTCATATATGAGGTAAAGTTTAATGCCAAATCATTTACCATTTTTCTCCTCAAACTTTGTTGGTTTTTCCTTCTGCAATTTGAGTTGAATGAAGATAGACATTAATCTTTATATTCTCTTTAATGAGAAAAATAATGACATTACCCTTTACTACTAAGTCATGTTTGTACTGATATTTTTTTTCATGTTTACCGATACATTGCACTGATCATGTTAGGTATCAGTATGGAACATGGAAGTCTGAGTGTCAAAAGATGGAACCGACAATTGGTAGTGGGACAATCATCTTGGCACCTATCATCACTACAGATGGTCGACCCATCTGTGATCCTTCAAATAATAGAGATACACAAGAAGACAATACTGTGCCAACGTCCACTCCTGATGCTTCTTTGAAGCATGAAGAGCATGCAGTTGATACTGATTTGGAAAAGAAAGTGATTCAATGGAAGCTTACTTTGCATCAAATTGGTATATAATGTTATACCCTTGATCTAATGATTATGTTCTCTTTTTGATTTTCATAATTAGATATGGTCATATTGGAAGCAACAAACTTATGTTGTATTTGGATGCCTTTATGGTTGTTATTGTTGCTGAGCAACTTCCATGGTGATTGACATGATGTTTAATAAATTTTGGAGAATATAGGTTTGGATGTCGTCCGCACAGATCGATCACTTGTATTCTATGAGAGTGAAGCTAATCTTGCAAAACTCTGGAATGTTCTTGCTGTGTATGCATGGATAGATAATGAAATTGGCTACTGTCAGGGTGAGTAAGGTGTTGATATTCCAGTCATTTGATTGTTGGACTGAAATGGCATTTGACCAACATTTCCTTATGGACTTGAAAATTTCCTTTCGTACACAGGAATGAATGATCTGTGCTCTCCTACAGTTGTTCTTCTTGAAAATGAAGCAGATGCCTTTTGGTGCTTTGAACATGTAATGCGAAGAATGGTAGGACGTTTTTCCTCAAGCAGTTTCACATTATCGATGGAAAAAAGAATTCATCTTGTTGATGCATATTCTGGTTATTTAATCCTTGTTCATGAATTGATTCTGTTTCAGTGAATATGGGTGCTTCATTTAGTTCACTTTCTGAAGCATCCATATTTCATACAGGAGAAAATGTTTTTACATTTATTGTGAGTTCACAAATTTGCAAGTTTCTTTTTTCATTTTTTATCCACAAAATTGCATAAGTGCATATTAGTTTGTATTAATAGGCAGCAGATTGATTGGATCGAATTAGATATACCTATATCCAAATTTGATTCATTAACATTCGGATTCAAATCAAATTTATATCAGATTTGTATTGAATTCAGATTGGAATTGGATATTGAATAGCATTAGTGAACTAAACTAAAGTTGAACAAAATATTACATATTATTAAAAAACGAACTGAAATTGACACTGATATTGTATATCATGAATTAAATTAATTGAAAATAACTTGTATGAAGCCTGAAGCTATGATGCAACTGCAACCTTGGAGCTTGTGGCCATTTAGTAGAAGTTTTCATTGGAAAGATTGGAGTTGATTTGGGTAGGAGGTTGGAGACAGCTGTTGCAGGTTCAGCCGAACAGTCGGTAACGGTAGTGAAGAGGCCTAGAGGAGTGAATAAATCCCATCTTGTGTGTGTTACAAAGGTTTTTTTGCATTTAAAAGAGGGATTTGTTGGGGCTGGTCCCAGTAATAAATGCAAGAGAGTATTTAAGAGAAGAGGGTTAATGCGAGATCCACAACCAATAAGAATTTTTCTGGGGTTTGCCGTGATAACCAAATCAGGTCTGAGGGACATCCTTCAGGAGGGGAATTGGAGAGGAATGGAGCTGTGGAGGAAAGGGAGAGTGCAAGGAGTTGGGGAAAGAAGATGATTCAAGTTTACACTTCAGAGGGGGAGAAAGATGGTAAAGGGGGTTTTAGGATGTTGGTTGAGAGAGATGGAGATTGGCAAGGCTTTGGGTTTGTATTTTTGGGGTGGTGAGGCTTTTGCCAGAAGGGCCTTTGAAGAGTTCGAGAGAAGGAAGAAGGAAGAGAGGTTGATGGAGCACATAACAGGGGAAGGAGGGCAGGAGTTCATTGGAGGCGCCCATAGGAATTTCATTGGCAGCCAAATTCAAAGTTTCGAGGCAGAGCTGCCAGTACCAGAACTTGCAGCCAAGGAAGGTGGTCCTGAAAGTTTGGAGTTTTTATTTGTCCAAGTGTGGAAGATTTTTGCCAGATTGAAGATGCGATTATTTGGGATCGGGCCCATTAAAGAAGTGAAGAAAATGAAGAAACTCACCAAGAGAAGTAGAGAGGATTGCATTCAAGATTCAGGAAAATCTGATTAATTGGGTATCATTAAGGAAGTGAAGAAAACATAGAAACTGACCAGTAGAAGTAGAGAGGAAGGCATTCAAGATTCAGGAAAAGCTAAACTAATTGGGCATTGATGTTGGGAGATATTTTTGAGCTTTTGGCATGAAGGAAGGAAGGAGCCATGGAAAAGACCAGTGAGGATGTTGGAGGTAAGTTTGTGCAGACTGCTGCTGGGAGAAGACTAGTGAAGATTGAAGCAAACAGATCCAGTTCGAGAGCTTTAGGGTGAAAGGAAAACCAGCACTGAAGATTAGGGAGATGAAGAGGCTATGGTGATTTTGATAGGGGAAAAGGTTACCAGCTGGTTCAAGGCCTTTGTTGAGGAACCTATACAAAAGAATTGGAAGCTGGAACGCATGGGGTCTACAGAGGAAGGTGATAGGAGGAATGTGGCAGAGAGAACACTAAGGGTAGATTTCTGGCACCGGTGGAATTTTTTGGAGGTAGGAAAAAGCAAATGGTGTGTTTCCCTATAGGAAAGCTGGCGACTGGATGGGAATGAGTGTCAAGCATTTTGAATGAATATGCTTGCTTGGTGGATGGATTGCAAGGTACCAAGAGATTTGTACGGAAAAACAAGAGAAAAAATACAGGCTTGACAAAGATGGAGCAGTGGCCTCTCAAGAAGACTATTGGAGTGGTGACTGTGGGTCAAGCTACAAATAATGTTAGAATAGTTTGTCTTGCCTCCAAGAAGGAATGGGAAAAGAAGCTAATACTGGCATTCATTAAAAAAAAAGCTAATACTGGCTACCTTAGTACCACTGAGGGACTAGAAGAAGGTTGGTGAGGAGTTATTAAAAGAATTGAAGTGGAACAGCACCATTATTCTAACTCCCTTTGAGGACTGTAAAGCCCTATTGGAGCTAGTAGTGTTGGAGGCTGGGTTGATGCTATTTGTGTTAAGCTGGCTTCAGGTACAGTAAGTGTTTCTAGGTGGTCTCCCACCTCTAATTTCCAAAAGTTCAGCATGGAAGACAGATTAATGGTTCGATTGCTAGGTCTCCCTTTTCATTTGTGGAGGCCAGCAGTGTTTTACTCAATTGCTTCCCTGTGCAAGGCTCACTCAGATGGCTTTTTTATGGAGTGCGATCAAGGTT